CTTTCCCTTCTCTCGCGACGTCAAAAGAGAAACAAACGGCCGCCGGGCCACTTATGCGCAACGCGCGCGCGACCGGTTGCAATTAAAACTAAGTAACAATTAGACCTAAGGAGCGAAGTTCCGGCTGAATACGTGACCCTCTAAAGCGCGAGTGCAAGCGCGAATCCGCGAGCCTTCTCACTTTTTTTCTCCTTCTTAATTCTCTCGCCCGTTCTCTCAAGCCACCTTTCTTCTCTCTCAATTTTTTCTTTTTATTTTTTAAGCCGTGAAACATTGAATCCTTAAACGTGCATCCAACGCCTGTGTGCGGAAAATAGTTTAATTTCCGGATAATTATGTCAATCCAATTATCCTCCCTTTTATTCATTTGTGATATATGATTTAAATACAGGATGTATCTATTAAAATTTAATTAGGAATTCGCCAAAAAATATTAAATTGATTGTATTTAAAAAAAATATTTGAAAGGTTTTGAAATGTGTAAAACAATTGGAGAGAAGGTAAAAAAAAACATAAATTATAAATCCGTGCACGAAATCGTAACAGCATGATCAAAATGTCATCAGAATAAAATATCATATGCAATTTAATTTTCTAGAATACAAAACAATGAAAAACGAATCGAGTGCATAAGCTGTAACTCATTGCAAGCAAGAGGTAAAAGATCGCACTCTATTTCGCGAGCTCTGCCGTCATACTAAAATTCGATGTTTACCGCAATTTCGTTCCGCGAAATGTAAACAACCAGTTGCGACTTATGGGATTAGTGAAAATTCTCGAGCATAAACATTGCACGCAAAATGAAAAGAACGTGCGAGAGCTTTCGCAATCTCAAGAATGTAAAAATAAAGAAAAAATATATTTTATAACTTCCACGCGTCTGATCAACCACGTGCAAGACTCTTAATGATCGCCTCGATAAAATCGAATACCGATGATTCATATGTACTATGTGAAACTGTAATGCACTTCAAAAGTACGTGAGTAATTAGTGTCCCTTAGTTTAGAGAATATACTATTACGATACTAGTCTTCAAGGCTTTGCCGATGAGCAACTGCAATGACAGGGTACGGATAGCATGCATTCGATCTCTCTGGAAGTTTTAATTAATTAAAACCTCCTTTTAATTAATTAAAACCGTCTTAAATTT